AGATGACTGTGTTTAGTCATTAGATCTCAATGGCTGCGGGGTCTTAATTCATAAACAGGAATTGCATCGTGTGTTGAACCACAAAACAGACACAAAGACAGTAGCCTAATAGATTAGTACATGAACTGGGAAAGAATATATAATTTAATATTGGCCAATCAATATTTAATGGTCTAAAAAGTAACAATGAACTGATTCCATTCCTTTAACCTCCAATCTGATTTAGAAGATATAAGCATTTTATTTCTTTCCCCAGTAAGTTGATAAACTTAAGTATTTGACTCTTTTCTGTATCTTTAGGAAGCTCATTTTATTTTTCAGCTACTTTGTTTGTTCACAGTGAATCATTTACCTGTTTCATATTTTCCCCCGACCAACATTTGTCTTTGTTTCCTTTATGTTTCATTTAAAGTAAAATCTTTGCAAGAGTGATGCAAGTGTGATGCAAATTTCACTGAGGTTCAGTTTACCTCTATTCAGTAGGGGGCAGCATAAGACTGTTTGGCACAGACCACATGCTGAACTTAATTACAGAGCATTTGAACCAAAGGGTGGCATCTTCTGCTGCACAGTGGAAACAAGTATTTTAAGGAGTCCTTTCCCACAAGCCACTGCCTGTTTCTCAGAAGTAGGTGAACTGGATCAGCTTTCCATTCGTATTATAATAAGTAAATATACTTTAAACATAATGGAAACTGGAGTTACTGCCAAACATTAGGGTCGTCCTGATGAGCTTTATCTGAATGACCAATATACTGAAACACATTGGCTTCGCTGATTAAGTTGTCAATATAATTGTTGCAGGAGTTTTAACCTATAAGAATGTGTCCCTTCTTCTTGCTGGTACAGATGTACCAGTAGGCACCTCACACGTTACACCTAAGCATTAACACTTTGAATGATGATGACCAGGTAGCATTTGTCTGAAACAGGTGCTCTCATCAAGCCGAGTTTTAAGTGCTGTGCCAGCCTGTTGTGTTTGGTGACTGACATCCATCGCATTAAGGTTGACGCTGTTTTATACAGTTTATGGTTTACACCTCTATCAGTCCTATTCATCTACATTTTCTTCTTTCAGCAGGCTGAATTTGTCATTCTTTCAAATTTAAGCCTAAAGAATTATTGGTGCAAACACTAATCTGTGGCACCTTTCTACTTTAAAAGAGGGTAAAACCTTTTGATCACTTGCTGCAGTGCTTTGCACACTTAAACGTGTTTTAGGTCTTCATTCATTCCTGAAAAAGCATGCGTGGTTTCAACCTCAACCACATTAATGACATATAAACATATAGACTGACAATCCTGACCCCTGTTTACTCAGACTTTATGTCTGTAAAGCTGTGCACTGTGTTTCCTGAATAATCATTACACTCGCATCATAACAGTGGTAATAATAGCATAAGAAAGACAACACCTGTCACAGGTATGTAGTGATGCCTCACACATACTTACTGTAAATGGAAAAACCCTGCACACACTGTTAGGACTTTTCTTATTTCATTTCCTTCAGGTTGTTTACAGTTCATGATGATACCCCACCCAGTACTAAAAACTGATTATAATGCCTGTCAGAGTCACCGACAAGGCCCAGAGCTCTGGTCAAAGCAGGAATACACACACACACACACATCTAATAAATCACACATGGAGGTTTGTATGGTTCCTAAGAGAAATCTAATTTAGAAGTACTTTAGAAGGCAGTGAATATTTACGTGTTATCTGCTGTAACAACATAATGACAGTTACTTAAGCAGGTTTCTTAGTTACACACACATGTTCATTCTAACTGAATTGTCTTTTGTTCTGAGGATCATGTTTCTCTTGCACGTTAACAGCTGGTGAGAAGAATAATTTTGCAGGATCTTGTTCTGTGGTGGGAAAAAGCACCTGCACACTGAAGAAACTAAAGGTGAAATATCATCACATGGTGGCTGGTAATGGGAATGTAGTGTCGTCTCATTGGCATGAGAGTCCCCACACACATAGCAACCCATATACTGCATAGTGCTGAAGGGCACATGTTTGTGCACCTTTCCTCCCAGCACAGTGGTGTAAGGATGACCTCAAAGCCCCAGGCTCCAGAGAGTCACCTTATACTCAGGTGTGACATTACAGTGTGAGAAAAGCATGCTTGGAAAGCTCACAGGGCTACAGAGATGCAGGCTCCAGACAGAGAAAGAGAAAGAGAGAGGAGACAACGGCAGACTCACAGAGTGACCTCTTTGTATTCCATTTCTACAGCACTGAAGTAAATTCTTGTTTATCAAAGTAAATGGTGCTTAAGTCTTCTCTGAGAAAACAGCTACATTAGTTGTCAACAAGTGGAGGAAACAAACACAAAAGCGACTCTCCATTTCCTACAGAATTATTGTGCTTTTGTCTCATCTCACTTTGAAAAAGATTCGCATTCCATTTATTCTCTCATAGAAGACACCATATTTAACATATATTATAATACAGTATGTTCCCAGTATATTAGGATAACCTAGTTAAAACTACTACAGTCTATTACATCCCTGTGAGAAATTCTATCTTTACTTATCCTATCTTTAGAGGCTGCAGTTTGTGGTACTGTTACATAATAACCATGGGTACAACAGATAATGCATTAATCTTAGCTAGGTGTACAAAATAAACTGATGCATCTGCAGTACACTGACACTATTCCAGTACAACAACATATTGCTTGAAACTGAAAGTTCATTGTTGATCTTGGAAACAGCAGTTGACAAAACAGTATCACCACAAATTTCTTTGGTAGCTTATCTGAAGCTTTCAGTTATGTGTAGTTTTACAGGAGGTTGAATTTAACCAGTCACCAGATCTGAACCCAACACATATGGGAGATTTTGGACTGATGTGCCAGTCAGCTCCCTCCACCACCACCAAAACACCAAATGAGGAAATATATTTTACATTTGTGGTGTTTATGAACAGTCTTATAGAAGCTGTGCCTGGGAGCACTGAAGCAGTTTCGAAGGCTTGTCAGTAAACTTTATGTTCTCTACATATCCCTACAGTTAGTGCTCTCTACAGCTGCATTGTCAACATTGAACTCAAACCGCCACGTCAATAAAGCTTGAATTCGAATAGTCCCAGATGACGCAGATTCCTCTGCCAGGCATGTTGAGATTCAGGCCAGGATTTAGCTGCTGCTGAGACTCTGCCTCAACCTGTGTACCTGTTCAATGGCTGCCAGGTGACTCAGAGAGGGAGGAGGATGGGGAGAGCGAGGCAGAGGGAGGTGGAGTAAGACAGAGAGAGATAGAGAGACAGACGTTGGGTGTGGTCAGATGCCTTGAGCACATTCCTTGCAGCAGCCGCACCCCACGTTTCAGCTCCTGTATACCTGCTAGTGTTTGTTATCAGAGGTTGTTCATGTAAGCAGATACTTGGGTTACTTTCTCTCTTGGCACTCATACTTCTTTCATTAAATATTGTCTTACACACATTGCACACTGTCACGAGCTGGTAAGCACTCACACAGCTATGTGCAAACTCTTGTTTAATACTTCTGGCATGCGGACAGTTGCACATTTGAATGAACTGTAAACGGGCTAAGTGAGAGCTCAGAAATATGGCTCCTACAGTGCAAGTGTATAACAGCTTACTAAGACTTGGTGCTCAGACATTCCAGCAGAAGGCACACCCTTAGGAGCAGGACTGAACACACAGTCGTACTCAAGTGCGTTGCTATCAGAGGGCCACGAAACAAGGTGTGTTCTGTCAGATAGACATGTTCCAGGACAAAGTGCGGCCCATATAAAGTGCACACACAGCGGCGTATGGATGTATCTGTATTACACCTTGTTTTAATGTCATGGTTGCTGCTGTATTTGAGCACAGGTGAATGACTGAGAATCAAAAAGAGAGAAGTAGTGAAAAGTACATTCAGACAAAAAGAAAACAGCTCAGTTAACATAATACTCATTCACCTTTCGGTCTACTGTGCACTGCTAGATCGAATTTCACCTACAAATGCTGGTTTATAGCATATATGTAGGCCTACATGGGGATATCCCATGAGACTAATGTCACTGGATCTGAGTATGGTTACTTTATCTACACTGTACCTTTAGTAAAACAACTTTCCCGAATCCAGCCGATTTGACAGAAGAAGGAACGGAGCCAACTGGCCTGCAGCAGGGAAAAGGGAACTGTTGACATCTGCTGACTCGTGTTTTGGTATAAAGAAAAACAGCAGCTGACTCATTTACATAGTGTTTCAGTAAGAAACATGTTCTCCAAGGAAACAGAGCCTAACTTATGCTAAAAACGGGCCACTGTATGCTTTGTTTTGTAAGTAAAAAAAATGTAAACACTAAAATGTAGTTGCACCAAAAAGAGACGAGCCAAGTCAGCAAACTGAAACACTGAAGTTAGTTACAACACTGTAGTTAACTAAGAATAGCCACCATAAGCTAATAGTCATACCAGACAATGTCAGGCAACAGCAGCAAAGCCGCTGAGTGTATTGAATTAAGAAGTGAAGTGTTTTTTATTGATTGGGATTTTTCATTTGAATGAGGAATACTGTGCTAAATGTCTTCTTTCATAAATCTATCAATACACAGTAGCCTACAAGCCAAGAGTAGGGATGACATTTTGTTTCTCTTGGGCTAATGGTGCTACATTTAATGTGTAGGCTAAGAAGTTCAATGCAGTCAACATAAAGTAGCAAGACAAAACAAAATGAGAGCAAAGACAAGACAAAAACAGTGTAAAGATGCGGTGCAAGAATGGTGAAATAGTGAGTAGATGTATGAGAACAAGGCTGGCGGTTGGCCAAATTGGCACATACACACATATGAGTTTTGGATAAAAGTATTTAGAAACATCCTCAACATAAAATGAGCAACCATGGCATAAAGGCCAGTACTTTTGAAATATGCCACTAGCAGTGAACTTCCAATGGTCTTGTGGTCCCAGTTATCAACGGGTTTGGGAGGCGGAGTCACACCGGTGGGAAAGCCCTGCCTAACAGGAGTCGCCCGCTTCTTCCTCATTCACCGCGCTGCCCTGTGCCGAAGAGGCGGCGGCTCTGGAGGTTCTCAAACCGCCCAGTAAAGCGCTCAGCACGGGCCCTGGAGTCCGTGTTCGCCTGGCCTGTCTTAGCTGCACGACACTGGAGGGTGTACACCGGGGGTTTGGGTGGAGTTGTTGCCCGATCTGAGGAATGTGACGCACCGAAGTGAAGCAGGCGAGCGGTACCCGTCGGTACTTAGAAAACAGACAAGGTCAGCCGCGAAGTTGGGAGGTACGGAGTGGAAACAGGCGAAACTGGGACAAAAGAACTATTTGTACAGAGGGTAAGTTCTATTCCGTCTTGTTTTTATTATCTATATGTAATAAAGGTATGCTATTCTACTCTATTCTGTCCTGTGCTCTATTAAAATCTATTATAGGCCTATCCTGTTTTATTCTGTTATAATGAAATCTTCCTGGTATAATATATCCAATAACTGTATCTTAGTTATGTCTGTTCTTTTCATTGCTCCATTAATGTGGGTGGAATACAAAAAGTGAAATGCTGGTAGCGTGAAGTTTATAGGGGATTTATCATCCAGGTAGCTGCTGTGTATTGCAAAACCTGAACAGTACTGTTGTTATAGTCCAAGTACACAGAATGCTCTGCGTTGGGTGGCACTGACAAACTGTGCTGCTCTATCTCCAATCCTTTGAACACTTTCAGGAATGAGAATATAGGTACTTCTTGTACTGTACTGTAATGTACTGTTGGAAGGTATCAATAAGTCTTGAAAAAGCAGAGACACTTTTACAAGCACGTCTTAATCCTTGGTTGTACAATGCCATGCATGCATTTCAGATCTTTCATTAGGCCTCGAGATCCCTCTAATTTAGAGATAAATGGTGAGATAATACAGAGTCTTTGCCTTGTAATCATACAGCCTTGTCAGTTGCGCAACGAAGACACCTAACACCTTCCTCCTACAGACTTCAATCTATAAGCTCTGATAGTATTGCAAACACACACACACACACACACACACAAACACACACACACATGCACAGATTCAATTCATTTGGCAGCTTTCACCCAAACAAGCAACATATTGATTTAATCCTCACCTTCACAAACTTTTCCTCCTTTCATTCAAAGTGAGTCATTGGAAAGGAATAGTCCAACATGTGGTTGTAATTTGATGGGGAAAAGTTTGTAGTGCCAGCTTCTTTGTGGTGTGTCTGTGCTTGTATGCTTCTTATTTTAGATCCCATCTTGTCACACTAGCCATATGGCCGAGGCTCCATCCCATTCACAGCTTTGTTTGCATTGTGTGTGTTACAAGGGGTCATTGTCTACTTGTATAGGTGTTATAATTCATGTATGAGCAATAATGTGCTTTTGGGGGAGAGGAAGCAACGTAGAAATTTTTTTATGCTTTTATTGTTGGGTTTTCCACTTGAGATGACCGCAGACATTAAGGCAGTTGGAACAGATGGGCGAGGACCTCAGAGGACCTGTTTTTCTAGCAGTGCTGCTGCGTAAAATACATTTAGAAATGCGTATTCTGTAGGCCAGGGGTACTCAACTTGCTTTGACCAGGGGCCACTTTTGCAAAATGACAGGTTTCCAGGGGCCAGTGACAAAGTCACCCAAAAGCATCTTTTCCTAAACTTAACCAAGTACTTTTGGTGCCTAAACATAACCAAACTGTCTGTTTCACAATGTTAAATGGTAATTTATGTATTTTTCAACCTTATTTTCCCATGCTTTTGTGTCTATGTGACTAATTGGGACAGCATTTTTTGAAACTGGTCCAGTGCTGAGCGAGTGCGCTGCAGTCGGCAACAGTGAAACAGGACTGCAATGTAATCCTTGCAGGCAATTGCGCTCCGTCAAAGTACGTCCGCTAAAGTGCTTATTTCTTGTTTTTGTTTAACCAGAAACAGTGACTATAGTGCTCTTGTTGAAGACTTCATTGATAAAAACACCGGCAGATGGCAGAAAGGCACGAGGGCAGACTTCCCCGTGTGGGTCAGGTATACATGAACTTTTCGCAGGAATCAAGTATCACCTCTTCTACGCACTGCACAGATTGCTGTTAGGCTAATATGGAACTTCCCAAGTAACAGCCAAGGGACATTATAATACATTTACTGATTGTATACACAAGCAAAACAATTTCCAGTGGGAATCAATTTTTTTTATTGTGAATTACAAAATGGTCTGTAAGTTGAGTATCACTGCTGAAGGTTATGGGTTTTCACATAAAGTATACATTCACGCGACCTTCAGCTGTGTTTTTTTATTTTTTTTTGTGGCTTTCAACAGTCTGGCTGACTTGTGATGATGTAGCTACAGAGAGACAAACAAGTGGTGTTCTGTTTGTGTGTCTGATGAAAGTGGCTTTGAAAGGTCTTGACAGGAGCATCTAAAGATTACTGGCTCATCTCTCCAAACCTGTTTTCAAGAATTGTTTTCTTACTCCATTCACTCCGAATTATATCACACAAAATGAATCCACCAAAGAGGTATGCCGGATCAATTAGTGTTTGTTTAGTGAGGTGTGTTCGGATGCATGTCTGAGAGAAAACAGAAAGAGAGTGGAAATATTTTTGGGGGGAGTTTGTACATGATAGTTTGTATCTCCTCAGGCTTATTTCTATATTCACATGTTGAGACAGATATAATTTTATCTCTGTCAGCTCTTCACTTACTCTTTCGCTCCCTCTTCTCGTGGCAATGTTCATGCAGGAATGCAGAACAAACATTGGGCACATCTGAATATTTGGTTTGTCAGCCTCAAAGAGCTGCAGTCAGTTGCCGCCTGCCTACCCTGTGGTGGTTTAGTGTTTCAAACTGGCTTTGTTAATTGTGCATTTAGGGCAGGCTCATCCTCGTGTGCAACAGAAAGCTTTATCACTGAGCGAGGAACAGAGAGAGAAAAGAGAGTGAAATCATGTATCACTATCTGTTGCTATAACAACAAACAAAGGAGCAGCATTTGTTTGAATACCATGTTAGCAAGGTGAGGTGCAGAAAGTCTGTCATGCTTCTAACGTTCTTCTTCTTCTGTTGCTTCATTCTGCAGAGCGCCAGAGGTCAGGAGGGTGAATAAGAAACCCCCAGGCTCTCTTTAGTGCTTCTGTGCTCTTGAGTCACCCACTGAGCTCATATTCACCTCAGGGTTGATTTGCACAGATCCGCCTTGTTCCTCTAAGGTGGATTATAATCATCAACAATTCTGTCAATTAATTTTTCAAGTAAAAATGCTGAACACGACCTTCAGTTTAGATAGTAAACTGAATATCTTTGGGTTTTGGACTGTCGGTCAGACAGAACAAGCAACTTAAATGCATCGCAGTGAGCTTTGGGAAACTGTCATGGGCAATCTTCACTTGTTTATTTATTTTTTTTGGAGTAAACAATTAATCAAAGATCATTCAATAATGAAAATGATTATTAGTTGCTGCCCTCATTATTTTTGTAAAGGCAAGACAGTAACAGCAGTACTAACTATTTCATAATTTGAAAACACTTGCAGTGTTGTTTTGGCTGTTGTTGTGTTGCCACACAAGTCGTGCATGGCTTTTCTGAGGTTTAAACATTACAACGAGCACAGGCAGGTGTGCATCTTTCAGTTCATGGTTGTTGGCTGTGACTTCAGGTGCTTCACTGCTGCCTCAGCACATTTCACTTGAATACAGATCAAGCCCTCAGCTGATAGATTTCTTTAGAATCAAAAACAAAACAGACCAAAGTATGTGTGATTCTTCCATTTCAGAAACTTTGCAGGAGTGAAATTATTTAGTGCAAGCAGTATGCGCACCTATCATGCCTCCCTACCCGCCGTGGAACTTTTAAAAGGGAACTGTACACCGCAAAGTCCTAAATTCTATGGCTAGAAAGTAGTAAGGAAACAGGATGTCAGCCATTTTCCAACAGATGAATCACCACTGAGCAGCTTGTTGCAAGTTATCTGCAGGCCAGGCCAGGCTGTGCTACCCGGTGACTCACCCTCTGAGTAAATCGGCTTCTCTTATTGACTGCAGGTTAGGACTTAGGCCCTCTGCTATCACCACCGATCTCTAAAGAGTGCATAAAAGTTTACAGAAAACACGTCACAACCACTTCTAAAGCAGGTACAAACTAACAGAAGACCTACTCATGCTGCCACTCAGACCCCAGGTTACACACACACCCTGAGCATGTACCCAGACTGTCAATCAACCATAGTTCCTAAGACTGTACATTTCCATGGTGATACATCCACACAGTCAAAAACACTTCCTGTTTTGACCACAAGCTGTAATGTGCTAAGGGAAGCCATGTATATTCTTGAGATTTACCAAAGCTTACTTTAGATACTTGAACTATTGAGTGTTAACCCACATCTCCACCATCAAATGACCCATCCAGTATGCAGCTGTCAGGACCACATCAAATATCAATGAGGTGGTGGTTGGTGGTGGTGGGGGGGGGGTCCTGGTTGGCTCAGTCGATAGTGCATAACACATAACTATGTTGTGGGTTGGAATCCAGCCTGGGACCTTTTGTCACAAGTATTCATCCTCTTTCTCTCTTCCTTCATCTAATGCCAAACAGTGACAGTGTCAGTCTATCTTTTGAATGCCGCTACAGTACATCACAAAATAATTAACAGATGCCAAATAATGATGGCCAAAGTAGATTGAACCAACTTGTGTTATTATAAACTAGGGCTGCACGATTTGGAGAAAAAGTCATATTGCCATTACTTTGATCAATATTGCGATTTGCAATGGCGATTTGATGATATTGGAACAAATGGTACTATGAGTCTACTTGCTTAATTATCAAGGAATATCTGAAACACTGACATTTTGAAATGTGTATTTCTCAACTTGAACAAAGTTAAACAATATTTATAACAATAACTAGTAAAACAGATGTAAAACAGATCAACAGGAGCGTGTTGCTCTACGGAGGAGGCGGCTAGAAGCAGCAAATATTGGCACACTGGCTCAATGTCCCTAATGCAGAGTCTCTATCCACAACCTGGAGGATGAACTGTACATGAGTGTATTAAACAAAGAGTATAATGTTTAGTTAATAGTATACTATTAGTATAACAATAATATACTACATTCATTATAATTTCATATAATAGTATACTATTTTACCACTAGTCGAATATTATATCACAGTTACAGCTGTTAAATTTTTGTGGGTTGTTCTTATTTATTTAATCCTTGTGCAAACAAAAGGCTCTACACTACTCTAATTTCTTAATGCTAAGTACTAACTTGTCAATAATCATGTTGTTCAACATTTAATGATTTGCTGTAGCACATCAAACTTTATTTAATGTCCTGCTCCATCCAGGCTGTGATTGGTCGGTTGACGAAAAGTGACTGACGAGCACGTGGCTCTGTGAAAAGTTGAACATGTTTAACAGCTAAATGCACTGATACAGTGAATATTAATGGCCAGTGAGACAAACTCAAACCGTCTTTATCTTCTCCCTGTTTTTTTCTGTCCTACCGCTTCAGCTGTCGACGACGTCTCTCTGTCACAGAGCGACCGGAGCACCGGCATTTCCGTCGTTGCTCTGGTGGCGAGTCGGACTAGGTTTGGAGCGATTAGTGGCGGGGTGTAGGTAGGCTTATCAGTTTTTAGGGGCACATGCGAGAGGCGGTGTGGGCGGAGATAATGATTAAACTCACACACTTTTACTGTTTTATTAAATCGCACACTTTTTGCGGTTATGTTATCGCACATGACGACATCGCGATTTCCATTGCTATTAGATTAATTGTGTAGGCCTAGTATAAACTAATTGTTAATTAACTCAATATGGATCATCAACATTTTGATAATCCACTAGTCATTTGAGTACATTTTCAACAGACAGACTTCCCTGTTTCAGCTTCTCAATTGTAAGAATTTTATGCTTTTGTATTTTCTTACTAATAGTGAACTAGGTATCTTTAGGGTTTAAAGTGTTGGACAAAACAGGCTATTTGATCGCATCACCTTTGGGCTTAAGGAAATTGTGATTTGTGGCATTTTGTACTGTTTGTGACATTTTAAATACCAAATGAATAACTGATTCATCGTGAAAATAATCTGCTGATGAACCGATATGGAAAATAACCATCAGCTGCAGCCCTACGTATTATTATATCCCTTCTTGTTGTGTTTTGTTGTTTGTACGATTTAGTTGTCTTCTGTCTATCTTATTTTTTCAGTGGTGGCTTATTGTCTCTTTTGGGCTGGGAATGAGAGAATTGGTGAAGTATCTAATGAATCAATTTATTCACATATAAAATTATGTGAATAATGTTGAACTTGGCTCTTAAGGTCTGTGGATCTGCGAAGAGAATCCTTTACTTTTCCACACTCTTTCTGATTTGAGCATGTGCACATTCACAAATTGTTATGTAACAATGTTCCTTTCACTACCTTTAATTGTGTTTAACTGAATTCAAGTCATGGCAGAGCTATTAGCTTACAGACCGTGCTCTTCTAAATCAATGTGTGTGTAATGGCTGACAGATTGCTCAGGATCCAAGTAGCAACACGAAGCATGACGCACCATCCTGGAAAGTTTACTGAGCAGAGATATGAGAGAAGCTGTCTACCTCTTCATACCTTTCCCACCTCTCACTTACACCTCCCTTTTTATGTTTTATGTAAAGCACTTTGAATTGCCCTGTTGTTGAAATGTGCTATACAAATAAAACTGCCTTGCCCTTTTCTCTCACTTGACTCGTCTTTCTTACTCCCATTGTATTTTCCGCATCCTGTTGTTTTTCATTGTTCTTACCTTTATGTACAGTTTTCTCACAAGCCAGATTGAATTTCATTTAATCATCGGTGCTATTTCGTTGCTGAATACTACTCTAACATTACATCAAACAAGCAATAAAGCAGGGTGTGTGATGCCATTAACGAAAACTAAGTCATGTCTACAGTGTACTACAGAAGACAGATAATATGATAAGATGCCCCTGATGATGTACAATGAGTAATGAAAGTCTCCATTTTTTGCCCTAGTAAGGTATCAATGATCTATTTGTATTGCTCCTTATTGTTGTTGATGGTTGTTATACTAACCGTCAACCTCGCATTAAGATACATGAAACACAACTTAATAATCTTTCTCTCCTTTACTACAATAATTTGCCTTGGAAACTTAGAAACGTGGCCCTTGTCTGGGAAGGAAAATATTTCTAAAGGTGTTAATGAAAAAATTTACTTGTTTAACTAACTGAACAGGCTTTGACTTGGCATCAAAACCTGCTTTGTGTAAGAGGTTATGGGTAATCTGTCTGGGTGTATAGCCTGACACTAAGCTTTTATACTGTGATCACCCTAAGGAATATTTGGTTGAATTAGCATTGTGCTTCACATTTTTTTATTATCAAACTTATTTCTCTGTGCACTTTCTTTCTACACAGGTTCAAATTCCTCTTCTCACCCCTGAGCCCTAACCTTTGACCCCACCCATCTGCAACCATGCCACACCGATCTCAGACTTCATCAATTGGTGAAAACCCTCTTGACCCAAACTATCTGGCACCACATTACCGTGAGGAGTACCGTCTAGCTATAGATGCTCTGATAGAAAATGACACCCAGGTAACACTTCAGTTTTGTTTTTTAATTTTTATTTGTGTGCTTTTATGTGTGTTTGGAATTAATAGTTATTTTAAATATTTAATATATGTATACATTTTTTTAGTTTGTTGATGTAACGAATTTGGGTGTGTCTTCTGTCACACCAGGGCTACTATGAGTTCCTCCAGACTGCAGATGTGGTCAATTTTCTGGCACAGCAAGAAATTGAATATATCAAGTCAACAATCCAGGCTCCCAACCAGACCTCCAGCTTCCCAGAGCTGGCATATCATGAGGGAGGTCTAGAGGCTGATGGCTCCTCCGACACCTACTGGCCAATGCAGTCCGACGTGCCTGCCCCAGGGCTGGACCTGGGCTGGCCCCTGGCGCAGCACAGCTTCATGGGTCCCACAGAGGTCACCACTCTTGTCAACCCCTCCGAACCAGACATGCCAAGCATCAAGGAGCAGGCCAGGAGACTTATCAAGAATGCATGCCAAGTAAGTGAAAGGATGTGATAGGAATCTGGGAGATGTGTTACACTTGCATATCTGGTTTGCTTTCAACAGCGAAAGAATGGCATCTGAAGATGAGATGAAAGTATTCCGTGTTCATAAATTCATGTTGTGTCCAGCTACAAATATGTTACATGTTTTTGTTTCTATGCACATTCACTACTTTTTCACACAATGATATACACAATTTCTTACCTGAGTATCCTCCTTCTCTCTCTGCATGCACTGTATGTTATCACTTTAAAAGAGGTTAAGATAAAGGATTGCAAGTGAGTAGTGCATGTGTGGGTTACGCTATCTCATTGTTACTTTAATCTTACTTTTTATCTGCCACTGCCAACGTTGCCACCACTCCCTTTCAGATGAATTTCTTTCTTGTTGGCCTTACGCAAAATTAAAAATGTAATTAACATGAAGGATACGTGCCAAATATCACAAGCAGTCAAACCTGTTGGTGTGGTGGGGTGTCCTCCATTTCTGTCTGTTTAGAGAGTATATGTCTCATTTATTGTCACGACAAGTGTGACTCTCCTGTGTTCAGGCATAAAGTAAGTGTTTCAACATGCAAGCAGATTCGCAAACATTATAGACAGATTCAGACATTATATTGCTGATACACTGAGTGCAGTTAAATGTACATTATGTTATTTGGTTGAGAAGTGTTCATTGTGGTGTTTGCAATATCTTAATTCAATATAACATTTTTCATAGTATCTATAGTAAATAAACTATTAATCCTACTTACATTACGTTTTTCTCTTCTGCTCCAGGTTATTGCTGTGGTGATGGACAAGTTCACAGATGTTGACATTTTTGCTGACCTCTTGGATGCAGCAGCACGCCACGTTCCTGTTTACATTCTACTGGATGAGCTGGAAGTCCATAACTTTGTCTCTATGGTCATCAACTGCAAAGTCAACTTGGACTTAGTTCCTGTGAGTTTGCCTTTTCATCACATTTTCTCAAATGCATTGGCTAACAGTTGGCAATCCTGTGGCATTTATCAGGTTATTTAATTATTTATAACATATAATTTCCACTTAGGCTTGCACATGTCCATAACATTTTTTAAACTTTTGTTTTACAGATGATGCGTGTCAGGACTGTGGTAGGAATAACCTATTATTCCCGGACAGGGAAATCATTTAAAGGGCAGGTGAAAGATCGTTTCCTACTGACTGACTGCAGGGCAGTACTCAGTGGCAACTACAGGTGGGTCCTGTTTATTATAAGTTCATCAAATTGCCAAGACAGACAACTGCCATTCATTCTGTAAATGCAAATACTTCAATTACCTCCACTGTTTTATTTTCTTATAGTTTCATGTGGTCCTATGAAAAGATCCATCGCTGCATTGCCCACCTCTTTCTCGGGGAGCTTGTTGCCACCTTTGATGAAGAGTTTCGCATTCTCTTTGCTCAGTCAGAGCCTCTAGTCATTGGCCCATCCAACGGAGCACTTGCTGTCTCTGACACCAGCAGCACCAGCAGTTACTTCAGCAGCCAGTTGGGTTTTAAAAGGACCCAGTCTTTGCGTAATCCCATAGGTTACCGCAGGCAGCCTGAGACTCCCTCTGCCTTCCCCTATGGAGACTCTGGTAATCTTGCACTTCCTTTCCGGAGGAACGACCCATTTCGTCACACCATTGAACCTGGGGCAGGAATTACAATTGGTAAATATTCCCAGCAGCAGTTTCGTCTGCAGCAGTCGTTCCTGGAGCAGGGAAGGTCCATAGTTTCTAGGCAGATGGAGATGAGTTCCAGTGGCTTCAAGCGGCACAGCTATGCAGAGGGAACCCAGGAAAACTACACATCTTCAAGGCAATACATGAAGCACAGAGTCATGAATAATCTGAACGAGACAGACTTCCACAGGTAGTTAACCCTTTAATAATACCTGCAACATAAGTATTCAGAACCATCACACGTATGACCATCTTATGTGAGCACATGTCTTTACACATAGCAATGAATTTATAATCAAATAAATAAGAACCACTGAATTTTCTTCACAGGGAGCAGACCCAAAGTAGCCATTACTACACTGAAGGGCCTGGGCCAGGTTCTGGCCACGGACACTACGACAGACTTCGAGGTTGTCCTCCAAACCTCTCCATTGACCAGTATTCAGACTCAAGCTATCGCTCAGATCTGGAGCCTCCACCTGGAAACTATGGCCGAGATTACTTTTCATCTGAGGACTTGAGGGCACCTGAGGGGCATCTGGCACCTCCATTAGCTGGGAGGTATGGAGGAGGTTCCTCCCATAAGAGGCCAACCATAGGGCAGGCGTATGCCTGTCACACCTCACCCACGCAGCCCCACCCACCAGAGAAGAAACAGTTTCCCAAACAATCTGAGGAAGTGCATGATCAAGATGATGATGCTAGGCAAGGCCTGAGGAGTTGGCGAATTCACTCCTATCTTAGCGCTTATGAGGACAGTGGAGAAGAAGGTCTGACTCAACCTATAGGGCCTGATACATTTGAAGATCCTCCTGCATCTCAGCACCTAACTGCGACTGAAAGTTCAGCTCCCCACTTTGGAATTAAAGAGCCTCCGAATGTTCCCCCTAAACCCAGACCAGATATCCTGAGACCACGCTTTGGAAAGCCCATCTTACCTGAGAGCAACAGTAAAGACTCTGCCCCAACAACAACCAAGGATCTGCTTCTGTCGGTTGAGAGGGAGACGGCGAAGGAAAGGGAGAGTGAGCCAGAGCGGGGTGCAGCAAGGGAGGTGGGTGTGGATGTGGAGATGAAAGAGGCTCCAGATCTCCTCCGGTCCAAACATGAATCATTCCGCTCACGTGTTAACCCACTCCTCCAGCGTAGCTCTCGTCTGCGTTCTTCGCTGATTTTCTCATCTTCCAAGGCAGAGATACACAGTAGTAGCCTGGGCTTAAAACCAGCCACAGAGGAAGAAGAGGAGTTAGACTCAATACGCACCTCCTCAATTGTGGCCCAGATCCTAGAAAAGAGGAGGTCTCGGGAGCCTTTTGAGTGGAGAAAGAAGGCTGAGGAAATAGATAAGGAGAAAGAAAGGGAGAATGAGAATGAGAATGAGAAAGAAGAAAAAAAGAGGGAGGCACAGCAAGAGAAAATGGAGATTCGATTGACAGATGAGATAAAAGCAAAAGAGGGGCCTGAGAAAACTAATGAAGAGGTCTCATCTCTGAACATGAATGACCCAGCCAGTCGACTACAGTATTTCAAAGAGCTGGCTGCCAAGAGAAAAACCTCAAACGTGGGGACAGAGTCATCGCTAAAAGACCCAGAGCCTGCTGAAAAAAAGCCAGACCTTTCTGATAAACCCCCCCTAAACACTGTGACGACTCCAAAGATCCGAACTGTCTCTCTTAGTTCAGCAGAATCTGAACCAAAGAAGCTAGACATCTCTGCAAAACTGGCAGAGCTCACTCGCAGACCTTCGATTAGTTCCTCAAAACCACCCATAATCTCTGCCAAGCCTTCTGCGAGCTACCTGAAGACTTCAGAGACAACTCAACCTCATAAAGAGGAGAGTGCATCAGAGGGTCAAAAGAAGGATATATTCAAGTCTCTAAAGCCCCTTCCTTCACCTAAGATCTTTAAGAGGGACCCGTTGAAGATCAAAGGACTGAATCCTCGTCGCATCTCTTGTGGTGAGGAGACTCTGACCACAGACGCTACAGATGCAGAGAAGAGTGAACTGAAAAAGAGCCGCTCTCATAGTTCTTCAACTCTGCCTCGTGATGACGTTAAGGAAGGACTTCAAAAAGTTATGGGATCTAATACCTCCATCAACACACTTGGGGAGGGAAAGGGTGAGGGTAAGACACTTGACTTCTTAAAGAAGCAGACTCAGAGGCTAAAGGGATTCCTGGGGCCCAAGGATAAAGACAAGAAGTCTTCAGGAGACGATAGGGGCATGACCACCGTCATAGAGATTACTGGAGATTCAAGCAAAAGTTCAACAGCTAAAGATACAGGATCTACCACTACTGACCAAACTGCAGCCAATCACAAGTCATCAACCGGCACATCAGGCCCATCTCGATACCAGGCCCCGGGCAGCTCTGTTCTGTTCAGTAGCAACCTACGAGATGACACCAAAGTCATTCTAGAGCAGATCTCAGCCAACAGCCAGAAGAACCGACAAGAACGAGAAGAAACAGGAGGAGGCAGAGATAGTGATGCTGGGGAGAAGGGGCTGGAGAGACAGAACTCTATCAAAAAGAATCGATTTCTGCGACCGCAGGGCAGCGTCCAGGAGCGGGAGGGATTGCTGAAGAGGATAGAGAGTTTGAGGAAGGAGAAGAAGGTCTACAGTCGTTTTGAGGTAGTCTCTCAATGCAAGGGTGATGTTTTCAGTGTGGATGGGAAAGAGATATGAACAAAAGCAAAAGTAGTGTTAGATATAATCAACACAAGTAGCAACGACATGTATTACTTAAATTACATTACAAAAAGCCAGCTCTTTAAAATATAAAGCCCAAATCCTGTATTGAGTTGATCCAATACAGCATTATGCAGTAAACTTGTGTCAGTAGCATATAGTACAGTTGTAAGAGTATAATGTGAAAAAACAATCTCTTTGAGCCGGACCAAAGTCCTTTTAGGCAAGTCATGCCACTTGGCCGCCACCATGGCAACGCCTCCAGGCAGCTATTTCGGACTAACCAGGCTCCTATCTAAATGAATGGGGAGCCAGATCTGCACTTTCACTGGTCACCGGGACATAGAAACTATATGAATAAAATCAGCATTAAAATCTGATAAAAATCGCTGTTTGACAGCTTTGCCCCAAAATAAGGTTTAAAAAGCGTTTGTCCCGACCGGTTCTCCTTCACCACTTCCACGCATGCATAGTAGAAGTAAAACAGACCCTTACGTCAGTGGAACCACACAATTGGCTGAAATATGTTTCCCGCTTGGCGGTTAAAAGCAGACGACTGGCTTTCTAGCGGGAGGGGTAGGATGACCGCCATATTGATCATTAAAGGCTTTCCTTATAGAGTTGTATTGAAAATGTGATTGAGTGGCATGTCTCCTCTAAATTGTCTCCGGCCAAACTGATGTTTAGGTATTTCAAGATTTTTGATGAATTGATGAATTGAGAATATGTTCAGTCATTTTTACAATGGACAGTCTTTTATATGTATATAAACTATAATGTGTTTGGGCAAGTTTTATTGCTGTGAAAATACATTTTGGTGGACAAGCTAATGTTTTCGTTTTATAGAGACACTAGAAGTCTGGTACAACTTACTCTGTTTCAATTGAAGTGAATTTGGTTTTACCTTTGTTGATATACTGGTTAAAATATATAATAATAAGCAGAACATTGTACTTAGTACTGTATGCTGAAGCCTCAGAAAACTGACAGTAAAGAGGTGAAGGAAACAAAGGACAGATGGAAATGGGTTGGTGTTCATACTCTGTTGCATTCACTGTTATCCCTGTTGTTCTGTTAACAGATGGGGAATAACCTGGGATAACGAAAAAGATGGAGGAGCAACCTTTTATATGGAAACTATTTATGCAAGATGATCAAAAAGACCCATTGTCCATATGTGCCACTGACACATTCAAAGTACCTCTGTGGCTCCACGATGCAGCCTCTCCTGGATTTTCACAAAAAGTAATAAAACTTGAATATATAAAAATGCTGAAAACAAACTTAAGTCATTGAGTTTGGAATGTGCCTGTATGCCAAGACCTGCTACTACTGTTACCATATATGGTGACTGAGAGAAAGAAGAGTGACACTACTTGCATACTGGTTTTGTGGGCTAATGTTTCACGAAAAAGAAAAGGGTAGGGGAGAATGTGTCCTTTGGGATTCACCGTGTGCCAATGGCCCACCAAGGGCATTACCAAGGTTAGAAGGACTGTTATTAACCCAAACCACAAAGCGAAGCTGAGAATATGAAGAGGAACAGAATGAGATGCAGAATTGATGAAGGGTGAAAATATAAGGGCAAGTCTGTGAGATTATAGAGAATGAAGAGTGAGACAAAAAAGGGAGAAAGTATGTTTTCTAACGTTGAGGCGGCAGCAATAGAGCTTCCATAGAAAGTAGAGAGTGTAGCGAACTTTACCCTCTCAAGAGAGAGTATGTACCTTTCTATTAAGGTGTGGACCCATTTCTCAGGGTTGAATTCAGAGAGGAGACCTACAAGCTTTTATGGTCAGAGGAGTGGCATTAAAAATAGTGTACTAGTCTTTGCCTTGAGTAATTTAAATAAAGTATTTACAGTTGCCCTGAATCACTGTAAAAAGTAGACAATTTTTAAATGACTTAAAAGCGTCCACCCGTTTCTCCTTCCTTGCCAGACTTTTAAATTAGTGAGGACCTCTAAAGGAAAGGAAGAGAAAAGGGATAGCTGCCTTTTGTAGTACCGGAGCAAGGTCATGTGTCCTTAAATAAGTCACCTAACCTCTGAGGCCGAAGCCCTATGCGGGACTCTTTAGTCCTGTGTTGATCTGTAAACACGATTAAACCAAAGATATTGTTCTATGGTGCAGTTCCCAGACTGCTTGACAGCTCAGCTGGGCCTCAAACTGTTTAGTGTTTATTGTGTATTTGTACAGTTCATCAAAAGATTGGAAGAACTATTGCTCTTTGGACACTTAAGGGGTTACGCTGTTTTCTATGCGGGATTGTAATGTACATATTTATATGAATATGGCTTGGTGATATTCTAAGTAACAAATTAGATTATCACCCTCACTGTCTTATCAAAGTGCCTTGTGTTATTAATTAATATGTGGTCGTGGCTGTAAAAACTAATTGGCATTAATTGGTGGGAAATCAGACGCACGTATTCTTTTTTATTTTTAAACCTAAGATAGTATTACATCGTATTTGAAATACTGCAAAAGTCTTTTATTAAATCTGTTTAAAACTGAAGTTGAATGTGGCTGTGTGCACATGTATACAATATGTGTGTATATTGTAGTGAATGGTTGTAGTGTTTTCATTTATAGGCTCTTTAAGATTCATAAAATAAAACCCATTTGACAACAATGTCACAAGACTCAAACAACACTTAAACAAACACTTCATATTTTTAAATATATGAACACCTTTATATTATATCAATACGCAATATTTAAGTAAGATGAACATAGTACCGTACAGGGTACTACAACTGGCACCTGACAATCTGAAAAACACCAGTCACAAACTGTAAAATATTTCATATTCCATTAAAACATTAAATTTGGCACAAATTCAAGCAACAAACTGGATGACAGGCCTATGGTTATACAACAATTAATATAAAAACATCAAATACTTGTGCCAACGACACGGGAATAAACACAGTTTTGTCTAACATTTTACTTGGATGTCACTGGTATAGATGAAGATAGAAGTCGTGACTAAAATTCTGGTTATTTTCATTTCATTTTGAGGTTAACTGAAGTTTTAGGTTTGCAACCCTTGGACTGATTCAATTCAGAAGCATACCTTTGGGAGATTTAAGGTTTAAACTATTACCTCTGATTTTTTAAAACTACCTGCAAACATGCAGTTTCACTCGTCCTGAGTCTCTGCAGCTGTCTGCTTCTGTTTCTTCACCTCTTCTAGCTCTTCAGCGAGGCGGTGCAGCTGAGCCAACTTCATTTGTTCTATAAGAATCACAGAACATGACCTCACAACAGGGGTTGGAAATGGAAAACACTTTATTCATCTATGTTCAAAACTAAATGTTTTACTGCATGCATGCTTGATGAAGAATGTGCAAAATTTTTTAGGGGTACTTACCAGCTGATAACAGCTGACTTTTCGTAGTCACAGCACTCTCTATTTCATCTGGGAGCCTTTCTGGAGTCTAAGTAACAATTTGAAAGACAAGAATCATTAAAAATACCAACAAGTCACATTATCATCTTTCTCAAGTCCCACTCATTGCGACAAACTTACAAAGACAGAGTGCAGATTCTTATGCTGCTCTATCAGTTGATAAAGTTGGTTTTCAAACCTCATCCTGAAAAATACAAGACTGACTCCAGTAAATCTATGACTAAATAAACGTATATGTTATATATTATTGCACGTTTAATAGGTACCGCTGCTTCCGGTGTTTAAGCTTGAATTCCTGGATTTCACATTTGTACTGTTCCAGCAGTTCGTCACTTTTCCTGTTCTGCTTTAACAGCCTGCAAAACACACGATTGCTCACTCAGTAGAAGATATAAACATTGAAAAAAAAAGTCCACCTAACATTACAATGTGTGTACAGTAGACTTGGCGCAAAGTTTGAAACATGTATTAAATATGATAATCACTTGTGTTATTCAGTGATTACACCACAGACCTCTGTCATAATCCGCCTTCTGACATTTGAACCTACTGTATATATAGTAAACGATGATGTGAGTTGATCTCCAGGTAATGGACTTTTAAGAACAAGTCTAAAAAGAACAATGTAAACCTGCCACGTGTAATGCTGGATACCAAATACTATCATCACATGATCCTGTGACAGTACACAAAAGTACACAAAAATGCATAACAACTATGTACAAGAATGCTGTATATAGTACAATCAGTCACACACTATGACCGCATACATAAAAATGTGCTTGTAAATTAAATAACTTATATATAATTATACTTACACGTAGGGATTAGATTGAATATAACAAACAACATGTAAAAGCATAAATCTAAAAAGGTTAACAGTTGACAGAGGTATCAAACTCAAAAGTCTTTTAAATGTAAAAGTGTTTTTCTGCCACCAACATGATGTCCAAAATGGGGAAAAAAGAGGGAATCCTACACACTCATTAACCTTGATGATACAACAACAAACCTTCCTTTGGGCTTTGCAAAAAACAGCAAATTAAATAATACGTAGAGTAAGACATAGGTACATATGTTATTTTAATATCTTTATCCATCTTGGTGGAGGTGACTCTAGTCAATATATCCCACTGAATAAAAATGTACCATTTAAAAAAGTGATATTATTATATATTATATTATTATATTACGGTTTCAAAAGTATTTCAATCAATAAGTACGACAATTGATTAATTGACACAGCCAACCTCAGGACTGAAGAAAACAAATCAATATTTCATAGTAGATCTAAAAAATACAGGTACAGTTTGACACCAAACTATTTATTACAGGAAAACATCCAGGATTTTACCATGATAAGTTGTTGCCCTCTGGTGTTACACACCACAAACACACAATTGAGGTCTCACAATATGAAGACAGAAAAAAAAAATGTTGACAGATCACATCCAGCTAAACGCTCATGCACCCTCCCTATAGCTGAGATATATAGACAATTAATAGTATTCTTTATCCACATGGTGCGGCACTCACCTGGCACAGTCCTGCTCAGACTCCTCACACTGGAACTGCAGCTTCCTGCACACCTCTGGAGGGAAACATCACAGTAATTGTGCACGTCAGCTTATTCATACTTATTGTCAGTGTATTTACAATAGATAACAAATGTGTTTCCAGACACAGTCAACCAAAACATTAACACTACATGGCATCAAATCTTAATACTTATTGGGCTATAATCAATTACACATGTAAAACTGTGAATAAGACTTGCCTTCTTTTTCTTTATGGATTCCTTCAAGTTCATATGCTTCAGTTTGTACTGTAAAAAAAACAACAACAATGTCTAGTAATAATAAACGATAACGTACTAAACATTTGGATCAAATAAAATTATTAGTGATGATTTTTTTGTCTTACAAGTTTCCAGCTCTTGCTGCAAAGAGTCGCTAACTGATTTGATCTCCTTAATTTCCTCCTCCAGGGCTCTTTTACCTTGAAATAAAACACAATGTTAACTGAAAGATGAAAATGATTGTTGTGTTAAGATTATTCTCAGAACGTAGGTTTATGCTGTGATAACATACCATCTCAGTTGCTTTTAAGCCTGAACACATTTATTTAAACAGACTTGTCAGAATGGTCTTGTAGGGTGTTGCTGTTCCCTACAAGATGGAGATATTAATCATATCTCATAACTCTCCATTCATCATGATCTGAAACTCCTTGAAAGGAGTAACAGGTAAGGATGTACCTCACTGAAGATACCCTGCATTAGCTGTAGAAACGCATATGTATGGTAGGTATAGCTGTCTCACTCACGGTTTCATGAACCAGCGGTGGTGGTCAACTTTTATTTGTTACGTGTAGTGAACTGTATTGTTATTTAAACTTTCCTTACTGTGTTTATTTATGATGGTTTTGGTTGTTAATGCTATACTTTCTCTAAAATCTAAAAGGAAACGCGTGGTCATTAGCATATGGTCGGCGCAAACCAGCCTTCTCATTGGTGCACATTCACAAAGCTTTTTGTCGATCTCAGACGTTCGGTGTTGAAACGTTTTCACTTTATAAGAACAGCTTACTTCTATAGGACATGCTACGCGTGGTTCACATGCTCATTTATAACAGTTTTCCTTGTAATTAAAAGAAAAAGTCAGCGCGACTTACCAGCGGAAGCGGAAGCGGAAGTGTTACTTCACGAAGAGTGACTGAAATGTCTAGATGTTTACTTCACATCCTGTTCTAGCTAAATTACCAGTTGTAATCCGTGTCGGCTTCTACAGAATAGCGATTTAGGGGTTATAATTAGAGGGTTGATATTGATTAGATAAATGGTCTCCTAATAAATCATGCACAAACCGTTTATTTATCCATGGACCATACCACACCGGCACGACTGCTCGATAATGCGCAATTCAACACGAAGACGGAAAGACAAACAGATATTTTGCTCGACCAAAATGGTTCACAGGCAGGGTGCAAATTTTACTTTTTAGTTCACAGGCCAAATGGCTAGTGAATGTTCAAAAAATACCAGCTTCTCAATAGATTACTATTGTTTTTTATTTTGTTTTTTTGGTTGTTAAGTGAAGTAAATTAATTAATTCATATCACAGTACATTTGCATATTTTACTAGCATTTGACTAGTGCCAATTTTGCAAACTGTTCACAGGTGATTGAAAATGTGAAAAACTATTATCCTACAGGGGCACCTGCAAATTTAAAACCAGGTAAACAAGCGTGTCCTTAGGGCCATGTTCTGAAATCCCATAATCATGATTTTACATATTAAAACAGCAAAACTGCTGCAAAGTATTAGCAATGCAGTTCAATCCTTCATGTGAAGCTTTCTGCCATTGTTTTTGTACCAATTCAATTCAAATGTTAGCAAGATGAAAAACGTTTCAATATACAAAGTAAGTGGAGGTGTATAGACATACTAGTAAAACAAATCCCATCTCCCATTTGTCGCCTATATGTCACTATTGGATTTGAAAAGGGCTTTACCTTCCATGTAAACAGACTTATCTCTAAAGTAATCAAAACAATGTACACATAACAATTAAAAATATCTGATTTAATAACAATTTAAAACAAGTGGTAGGTCAGAGTCAGTCAAACACTACCTTGTTGCAGCCTCCTCAATTTGCCCATCAACTGTTCAACTTTGGGCTCATGCACTCCACCTGACATCAGGGCATGAAAATATTATCAGCCTTGTTTATAGTTTTCAAGATATGTTTCGTTTGTGCTTTGTGTAAGTTTGTAAGTTTACCTTCTTTCAGCAGTGTACAAAAAAACAGGTCATCAATGTTTAAGCCTGTTATGCAAATAAACAGACATTTTAGATAGGTGAAGGGTTTTTGTCTTAACCATCTATTATGTTCCACTTTGCCTACATACAAATGTTAGCTACCTCAATGAAAAGCTTGCCTTGCTAACGTAAGTTAAGGTTACATGGTTAAAAGTTAGGTTGGTTAAAGTAACGTTAGCCTAAGCTAACTTAGGAACTTTCTGCAAAAAAACAAGCAGCTATTCAGTTATTTTCAGGTTTTGGCTCAGACTGAAATAGTAACGCTGATAACTGGTAAGTTACAGTATCTATCACATGTAACATAATCTCCAATAAAATGTAGTTTGCTTAGGTTAGTTTTTAGCTAATGTTAGCTAATTCTAACATTGACCTATAACATTTAGGTTAGCTAACACTATTTTCAAAACTAAATGACATAGATTAACATTTAATTAACGGTAATAGTTGATTAGCCAGATATAAAGGAAGACACTGAACAAGTAACTTACCCACTGTATTATTACAAAGCTGTTAACATATTTTATTTACAAGCCTTAGCTAATAGTTACAGATCCAACAGTAACTGGAGGCTAATTTAGATGCTAACTTACCATGTAAGTTATGCAGTAAGTTAAATGTTATCTAAAATATTTCTTACAGCGATCAGTGTAAATTAGCCACTATGGTGACTTAACGTTATAGTTCCACATATATTCACGTCGTCTGACCTGCCGTTTCGCTCATGTTTATCCAGCCAGGGGAGTCTTAACTATCCAGATGGCTATAGCGCCAGAGTCCTAACTATTATCGTGAGCACGAGGACGGAACGCGGCTTTTGGCGCCACACATCAAGTGTGCGCGTGCACCACAGTAGCACATTCATAGCAGAAAAGTTGTAGTTGCAGATAAAAGTGGATGGTTTCATTGACTTTCTGTCGCCAGTGAAAGAAAGAAATATTGCAGGTCCATGAATGTTTTATATTATACAACAATGAATGATAATAACTTCCCTTCAGCTACCACAGGCTTGAGCTTACACTATATATTTTAAATGTCAACATTTAAAGCTGGATTTAAAAAAACACACAATATAACAAAATGATACTTGTCATCTTGATCCTGGTCTTAATTTAGTGTTGTTTTTTCAACAAAATTTTTCTTTTTAATGTAATCTAATATGTAACAAGGTGTCTTAAACATGCTAGATGCTGGATTTTTGAGGTTTATGTCGTTATTAAAAAGGAAAAAACAACCATGCTAAATTGGCTGATTGTTTTTTTTTTACAAAAACATATGACATAACAAAACCTTAGTTAAGAAGTGTGACCCATATGCTTTGGGAAGAATAAAACCTCATCTCTATGGCTTACAACCTACAAAGTGGCGACAATGTTTATATTTTAATTCAAACATATCTTTGGCATTTTGTACTGACTTTGCTATGTATTGGCCAACAGACTGTATACGCTTATGTTGCATCTCTTAATGTTAAACCCGCTGATATTATTGGCTATGCCGATTTATTGGTCAGGGTGCAGTAATTACAATCCATCCGGTTTAGTTTTATCAGAAATATGATTTCACAGTCTAACAGATATAATGTAAATGAAAACACAAAGTTCAACACCTTTATTGTATCAGTTTTAATGAAAAGCTAACAGCAGTGTAGGGGAATGTGGTTCCACTTCTATTTAATGCAAATATACAATGCAAACAGACCAAAAAGCCCCAAAATTACTTAATCTATACACATCAAACCACTTAGGAGTTCTATACACATGTACACATTAGTGAGATACAAACACAGGAGTTAAAAAAAGTCTAACAGGGCTGCCAAACACTGCGTCTTTCCATAACAGGAATACCTGTACCGTGTGCATTATCGCACATGCATATGAGAGGAGAGGGTCATGCAAGAAGTGAAAAATCAAAACAGAAATCACAGAATAAAAAATGTTAAATATATCATTCAAGTTGTGTGTGTTTTGGCTTCCAGTGCATGTTGCTGTCACTTTTTTGAGCAAGCATGTGACCAGTATGTTGTAGTTTCACCCTCAACGTCTGTGTTTGCTTATAGTAACTTCAAAGCAAAACTGTTATCTACATCAATCAATAAATAGATAAGTACCATTTCCTACAAGGCTGGAGTCCATCAATTCAGAAGCTGTGATACTTGGATTAGCTTGGTATAAATGTGGTCATAAAAAACAATACTTGAAAAGTAATTCACATTAGTTGTAATAAGAAGAAATAAATACAGCACAAAATTTGCACTTCACATTAATGACCAGAGATGGGGGAAAAAAAGAAAGGAAGAACGTAAGGGGCTCAGCTTTGGATCATTGAAAAGAAATTTCAGAACAAACGTTTTATTCCTTTTAATAAGATATTCCATAAGAATATATACTTTAGAAATATTAATCTTCATGTTTGTCATACACATCAAACACTGATCTTTAATCTTCTGCCATTAAAAGATTTTAGTTACTATAGTGGGTAAGCGGAGTTCTGATATCAGAGCATATTTCTCCCAAAAAGCAACATATCCATATGGATCACTCCAGCATGCCTTTCAGGGGGGGGGGGGTATAGTGGTATCATATACAGTAATACACAATTTACTATTTACAGCTGTGACAAGCAAGCTACACATATTCCTCTGTTGTTTCCAATGTTGCCATGCAGAGTTACTTTACACCAGCAGACTGAAAGGGAGAGATAAGTTTGGGGAAAGAGACAGATTGAAGGAGATTCAATTTCTAGCACTAACATCTTCTCTTCAGGAAAAGCTGGTTTACATCAATATCAAGCACTACCGGCACCTTCCCCACTCTTTTTCTGTTTAATATCACCCAAAGATAACACGTTTTATACTGTCTGTGCCGAGCCAAACTGGAGGGGTGTGTGTGTGTACATATAATGTCGTTGTTAGTAGAAGCAGAGACCAGTTAAAACAAGCAGAGTGGTCAAAATTGAGGAAAAGACAGATCAATGCATTCTGTCACTGATGGCAAGATTTGTGTAAAATAGTGTCCCTTTCAGCTGTATTTTATGACAGGCTGCATCTCCTGCACAGACCAACTATGTTTTAAAAAAAACTGTGTGTGACAGGAGAAGAGACGAGGAGTATAATGAAAACAAGTGAAAGAAAAAGTTAAGGGAGTTTGAGAGCAACGGCCATGTTAGCAACATTTCACAATAAAGGGAGGAGTTCTCTATCTCCCTCCTGTTATCTTGAAGGTGGGGCCTCATTCACGGGAGCGTCCCACGATAGCCAGGATGTAGAGGAATATGTTGATGATGTCAGTGTAGAGGTTGAGAGCAGCAAAAATGTACTCCTCTGGACTCAGGGACAGCTTCTTGTTGCCCAGGAGAAGCTGAGTGTCCACGGCCAAAAACTGCAGAGAAGAAAAAAAGGATGGCATTAGTCATCAAGAGATGTCTACACTTGAGATCAAAGATGAATGACATAAATATGTATTTTCATTATGAATATGGTGCGCGCACACACCCCCTCCGCAGCATCCGATGCTGGTGAGCAGCACTGGCTGTAACCAGGCTGTAACTCGGGACAGACATTCACTGTGTGACACTAAAGTTTCTGTAATGCTGCTTCTGTCAAGTTTAAGGCCATTGTACAACAACAAGTCAAGGTACAGCGTAATGTGCGAAGTTGATGCTTCCTCTGCAGACCAGAGTGTAATCGCAGCCGTTGCAATTAGAAAATCTCGTTTATAATATTGTGATAATATCGCAAATGCAATTAATCGTTCAGACCTAACACACACACACACACACACACACACAAACACAGTGTCTAACAAAAGTGAGTACACCCCTCACATTTTTGTAAATATTTGAATATCTTTTCATGTGACAACACTGAAGAAATTACACTTTTCCACAATGTAAAGTAGTGAGTGTACAGCTTGTATAACAGTGTAAATTTGCTGTCCCCTCAAAATAACACATCACACAGCCATTAATGTCTAAACCGCTGGCAACAAAAGTGAGTACACCCCTAATTGAAAATGTCAAAATTGGGCCCAATTAGCCATTTTCCCTCCCAGGTGTCATGTGACTCGTTAGTGTTACAAGGTCTCAGGTGTGAATGGGGAGCAGGTGTGTTACATTTGGTGTTATCACTCTCACACTCCCTCATACTGGTCACTGGAAGTTCAACATGGCACCTTATGGCAAAGAACTCTGAGGATCTGAAAGAAAGAATTGCTGCTCTACATAAAGATGACCTAGGCTGTAAGAAGATTGCCAAGACCCTGAAACTGAGCTGCAGCACGGTGGCCAAGACCACGCAGCGTTTCAACAGGACAGGTTCCACTCAGAACAGGTCTCTCCATGGTCGACCAAAGAAGTTGAGTGCACATGCTCAGCATCATATCCAGAGGTTGTCTTTGGGAAACAGATGTATGAGTGCTGCCAGCATTGCTGCAGAGGTTGAAGGGGTCAGGGGTCAGCCTGTCAGTGCTCAGACCACATGCCGCACACTGCATCAATTTGGTCTACATGGCTGTCGTCCCAGAAGGAAGTCTCTTCTAAAGATTATGCACAAGAAAGCCCGCAAACAAGCTGAAGACAAGCAGACTAAGGACATGAATTACTGGAACCATGTCCTGTGGTCTGATGAGACCAAGATAAACTTATTTGGTTCAGATGGTGTCAAGCGTGTGTGGCAGCAACCAGGTGAGGAGTACAAAGACAGGTGTGTCTTGCCTACAGTCAAGCATGGCGGTGGGAGTGTCATGGTCTGGGGCTGCATGACTGCTGCCGGCACTGGGGAACTACAGCTCATTGAGGGAACCATGAATGCCAACATGTACTGTGACACACTGAAGCAGAGCATGATCCCCTCCCCTTGGAGACTGGAAGGGCAGTATTCCAACATGATAACGACCCAAAACACACCTCCAAGAGAACCACTGCTTTGCTAAAGAAGCTGAGAGTAAAGGAGATGGACTGGCCAAGCATGTCTCCAGACCTAAGCCCTATTGAGCATCTGTGGGGAATCCTCAAATGGAAGGTGGAGGAGCGCTTAACATCCACCAGCTCCGTGATCTCATCAGGAGGAGTGGAAGAGGACCCCAGTGGCAACTTGTGAAGCTCCATGCCTAAGAGGGTTGTGTGTGTGTGTGTAATTTTTTTTTCTTTCCATTTGCAATAAGCTGGTTAGTGATATGAGGTGGCAATGGAACAGTGGATAAGATGTTAACCCCCGCTCCAGAGTCGTGCAACCTCTGATCTATTTAGCAATTGTAAGTCGCTTTGGATAAAGGCGTCAGCTAAGAGACTAATTATCATCATAAGGAAGATTTTTAGGCGCACATTCCTGGTAGATTACTGTAGCATGACTGTCATTGTGATGGCCCCAGGGCCTCTGCCAGGGTGTTTGTGTGTATCTCTGTGTCTTGTTGCAGGATGTACTTCCCGGTGGAGTGGAGCCGAGCCCATCAGGGAAATCAGAGGCTGCTGGCCACTGTCTCCAGATTGCATATAACCCACCCCTAGGTCTGTCGTGATAACCGCATAATTAAAATACCGCACTATTGGTCAAGCCTACCGCGGAGGATGGCAAGCACTGCAACAACCGCAATGGTCATACTGTACACTTCAGGGTGTGTTAACTTAATGAGTGTTTCAAAAGTTCCACAACCATAACATGGGCTGTACGTGACCTAACTCCAAACTCTGAAGCTGTAAGTGTTGTGTTGTTTTACTGTTTATTTTAAAGGTTAGCTAACTTCGCATTAGCATATTGCTCAGCTAATGTGGCTAGCACGCTCGGCGATGTTGGACTAACGTTGTGATCCTGAAGGATAGTCTATGGAGAAACTGTGGACAGTAAGCCTCATTTGAATCTCACTAACTAAGGAGCATAGTGTGTCGGAAGCCTGCAGCTGTTTTTCTATGTTGGTTTCTGTGTAAATTTAGTTATAACGTTACTTCAGCGCAGTGGATAGCTGTGGACAGCCATTCTGCTCCACACCGGGAGACACACGCGCGTTGCTGCGGTATGTAAATTGACTTGATAGACATGCCCTGAAGGTAATGATATTACTATGTCTGAAAAAGACACGGTAAATGGCAATGTTGTTGACTAGCACGCAGCAGCTAGCTTGCTCAGACCATAAAGCTGCTGTTAGCGGCTCGCTGTGCAGTGAGGTGACAGATGCAGACACTCTAACTCTGCTATATGCCACCAAATTACTTCATTGATGAAAAATGCAATAATACCGCATACCGCGCTGTTGAGCCCCAACATATTGCCGTGGTGGATATTATTTCACCGCGACAGCCCTACCCACCCCTTCCTGATTGTTGTGGGCCTGACTGCTTGCATCTTGCTGGTCCCCAGCACCACCGTGTGTTGCTTTGTTGCGCTTTTGTTTGTTTAAATTAACCTGGCACTAAGTTTTACCAGGTTTCCCAGCTGACATTGGGCGAGAGGTGGGGTAGACCTTGGACAGGTCACCAGTTCATCACATGGCGGTATTTTACCCTCTATATAATAAAATCTTCGTAGTGTTTTAACATCTGTTTTGGTTGAGTTTGGCTCTTGGTTATATATTCAGATCTTAATAGCAAAGTTAGTGTCCCACTTTCCTCTTACTAAGCATGAATCTTTTTCCTACCCGGTTTGCGCTTTACTCTTTAAACGTCCTGCAGATCTAATTATCCCTTATTTGGCAGAATAAAGTTCACTGGAAGGTGGAAAACTGTCTGTATGCCAATGGTGATGACTGTGTAGTAACTGTATCCAGATGACTGGACGCCATTACCCAAAAAATATCAAATTACTGGATAAAATTAACAGCCCTTCCTCAAGTAATGACATCCAAGTGATCATTACTGTAGCACTAAATCTTAAACTTTACACATAATGGCTAAAACTGAATACAAGTAACAGCCACTGAAAAGGGCTGTCATTGTGTGTGAAACTTACGCAGGTGAAGAGCAGGGCCCCCAGTGAGGCATAGACAATGTGCAGGATCCTGTGACGGATGAAGATGCAGAGGATGGAGAAGAGCAACAGCACCATCAGGCACACAAACAGCACGCCGCGACAGGAAGTGAAGTCATACTTGCTCTGTGGTGAAGATGAAGAGAAAAGACAAGATGTTGGAAAATATAAATTGTGATAAGACATAAAACCCACCCCTTAAAGGGTTTATTGAAATCTCTTTCAAACGCAGTCGTTTTAATTGTATCCATTTCTGTCTCTTCGTTTAGCCCTTTTAAAAATCTCTTTACCCCACATGTATGGTATCCTTTTTCATCCTATTATTATACATTATAATACAACAGTACTAGGATGTAAAAAATATTGTTTTACTATTTATACACACGTGGAAAATACTATAATACAGTCTATTTACATGTAAAGTTACTGTTTTTGTCTAATTTATTGAGTCTGTGATGTGGTTGCTCCCCCAACAACTCAATTAACATAGAACAATAGGAACGATGTCTGTGCGTGTAGACTTTTAAATCCATTTATCCAGGCAGCTGTTGGTGTGTGCTGACCTGTAGTGAGAAGAGGACGACAGTGAAGCAGACCATTGCAGTGATGCCCACGGCCATGATGACAGTCTCCGTGTCATAAAAACTGGCAATCATGCCCACCATGTAGGACAGGCTTAGGGTCAGGATGGACTGCAAGACACAGAAAACAGTAAATTAACATCACTTATGACGCACATTACGTGTTGTAGATTCAGGTGACATGTTGTAGATTCACCCTTTTAAAATGTGCCGTAGCAGCCTGGGGATGAAGAGTGCCAACTAGTGTTTTATATTTGCAAAGATCTAGTTACACAATTAATATGTATACAGTTATTGATACACATTACTTTCTATTGTCTGTATTATAAGGATATAGGGCTGGCCGATTAGCCAAAAATGTTATCATGATAAAAAATTTGATATCACTTAATATCGATAATTATCACATTACATGTCAAATCATTATTTATTTCAAGTTTTAAGGCTGATTTTAAACTGATTGCTCCAGAGCAAATGTAGAAACCAGATGGTTAATTTTTTGTTTTAAACTTTTCTCTATGGTCAGAACATGGCAAACACCACCAAACAGTGGATCACTTAACAAATCTGAGGCAGGAAATTCAAAACAAAATATTTTTTCAACAAATATTCATGAGTAAAATTAAGTAAAATCTTTTCAGTCCCTTTTTCCTCAACAAAATAGAAAAATTAAGTGCTAATTCATTCATGATTCAAATGAATTAAACAAAGAACATTTGTTATATTGATTTAGGAAAATTATATCGCAATAATTATCATTATTGTTTTATTGCTCAGCAAAAACATATGTTTGCTTGCTATCTGTTAGATGGATGTTTTCTGAAACACAGCAATAAATAAAGGCTAGTTCATGTAAATTAAAGTGATCAATATCGACATAAGTATTAGCTTGCCTGTAACGTTTTTGATTGTTTAATTAAGCATTTAAATACTGAACGATAACAAACGTATAGCCCTTTTTCACAGCACATACATTTTGACTTGTAGGAAAAGAAAGGGTGTTACTAATTATACATGGCTATTTTCTATTCAAGTGTCCCAGTAAGCCATGACGGTGGTCTTGCATGTACAATACCAGGACCCTGAAATTGAAGCAGCTAAATGGAATTTAGCCTTCCGTCATTTCATTATTTACACCTATGCTTTTGCTACTGTGACATGTCAAATGTCTTCCATGAACAAAGCCAATTTATCTGTCCATTATCTTCTTGATGACTCAATTATTTAGGCTTTAAAGAATCAGAAAATTGTGAGAATTGTCCAAGAGATCAAGGTGCCTTCTCGTCTTATCTGAAGTGTGCCTAAATGCTTAGAAAGGGCCACGTAAATGCTATTTCAGAATTTGGGGGGGTAAAGGGAAATTTACTTTTTTAAATCTAAAAATCAGCTTATATAAATATAGTGAAACACAGCATGTACACGTGAGAAGTCATGAATTAGTTTATTCATTACATAAACAGACTTTTACAATGGGTAATCCATACTTTTTTATGGTTTGGTATTAGGACAAGTTCTTACCAGTGCAACCAGGTTCCAGGGGTGCTTGCGGCGGAAATCTCCACAGCAGCTGAGGACAATCAGAGACACGAAGAAGACTGCGTAGGACACATAGTATGTCCACGGATTGCGTCGCACAAACAGCTTGGCGTCGTCGACAAAGGTGAAGACGGCAACGAAGGAGAAAGTGACCAGTAGCTGCACTGTGAGAACCAGGAAGACCTGGTCGGAAAGAGGTATTAGGTGAGATGAAAACATTATGCTCCGATATTACCTTATATTACACACGATACGTGCATCTTTATCTGACCCATTTAATTTATCCGACAAGGTAAAGGACCTACTTTTCTGATGAAGGCTTGTCGGATGCTCTTATCCTCAAAGCTTGAGCTGGTGAACTCCTCATTGTCGTAGTAAGATGGAGGCCCATCACCATGGTAACCAGGGCTGCCGGGAGGTGCTGGTGACCAACAATAACAGGACGTCAATTAGGGTTTAAAAATCAACTAGACTAAACAAATGGACACGTCTGTGGTGTTTTCGGCACACTGACTTTAGTATTGATCATCTGATTGATTGCCCAGTCATCTGTGGTAAGATTTATGTAAAGTGGAGCCAGTAACGTGTTTCCTTGCTGGATAAAAAGTGCTTTTACGGTTTTTAACATCGAGTATACAGTGTGTAAATCCCTTTACACAGTAAAACTGAGACAGCTTTATGGCACAAAGAGGAAAAGATATGTTAAGGTAATAAATGAACACTACTTTAGATGAGCACATCGTTTTTGTGTTTGTTTTGTAACTGAAAATTGATAATAAGCAGTGTCAAATGGCATGATGTGCTTACTTTCAGGTACAGCCCGTTATTTGGCTATGTCCTGGTTTATCGCCTCTGTGATACATTCAGGTATCTAATAACAAAAGATTAAGATAGCACAGAAAGAGAAATGTCATATAGGCCTCTCTTTACTTAAACACTCACCTGTGCTGTCACCTGCAAAGCCTGGCTGTGCGAGTCCTTGCTGATAAGGCCCCTGAGGGTAGGGCCCCTGAGGGTAGGGCATCTGAGGGTAAGGCATCTGAGGGTAGGGACCAGGGGCGAAACCTGGGCCTGCTTGGGGGAAACCTGGTTGTCCATAGCCAGCTGCTGGTGGGTACGGTCCCCCTGGGGCTTGACTATAGTTAGGAGGGGGCATACCGAAACCTGGCTGAGGGGGTCCATAGACGTTGTTATGAAGTGGGTTGGTCTCACCCATAACAGGGTATCCACTTTTGTCCTGAGACATGGTATGGCTCACTTTGCTGCTAGATCAATCTATGAAAAGAAGAGAAATAGGAAAAGTTCACTTAAAAAAACAACAACATAGTATCCAGCACAAACATACAGGTAAGGAAATTAAATCTTAAACTTATGTTCACACTGAATATTCACACAATTTCAACATCTTTATTACAACTCAAATGTGCCAGAAGGAAGCAGAGAAAAAGTAATGACGGTACACTATCTAGGCGAGACTGGCAAAGACACAAGCACTGCATCTGCCTGATTAAAAAGGTGACAATGCAGCAGGGAGAGGATAGAGGTGTGGAGCAGAGCTACAGCACATTGCCGTTCTATTTCACAAACTAAATTCCAGCTATATCATCATTTTATGCTTGTTTACCTTGCTTTTTTTGGATTGATTTTGATTTTGTTAAAATATGTCTTGTATTCACTCAAATAGCAGATAAAACCTAAATCTTAATGGAGGTCTCAATGATTGTCAAAGCTGCCAAAAAAACAAAGCTTAGTTAGTGGCAAGTTAAGTATTAGTTAAATCACTGTAATAGTATAAACGCTTGTCTGAGATTTGAATGTGCTGATTGATAGGTAATGGTCATTTGGTTGATTATACGTCATGATATATCCTGTGTTTAAGGTCAGGTGTGGAAACATTAAGGTCAAGTAGGCAAGCACCATCACCCGTTACTGCATTTTCCTTCTTCTACCTTTTAGCTGACATCAGTCTTATCCCTCAGCTTATAGAGGTGACAAAAGTTCACTTTCTGTGATTTACGGAGGTTCCTGATGAACACAAAGTGTTACTTGTTATTAAAGTAACTGCTAACCATGGCTAACTATCTGCCGTTATCTAATTAGCTCAGTTAGCCTAGTGGTCATAGCTAACTCAGCCTGGACTGGGAGCTCGGAGCACCTGGGGAGTGTATTCTGTTTAATGTGACACCTCTGCAAAGATGCAAAGAACCAAACCCGTCAAGAAAACCACCTCGGTCCTGTATTCCCTGTCACTAAACTGGCCTCTGTTAGTCTCAGAGGCTGTGTTGGGTCCCAGTCTGGCCGTAGTGTTCACTCAGTGAAAACTGAACCAGTCTGCACAGAGTAGGATGGGGAGGCGTAACACACATTCAGCGCTATTGGCTACTGTAAATGCTAATCAATATCTGCAATGAGTCCCTCCCTGTCTTTGTGTTTTTAAACATGCAGAAGCAAACAGCACATTCATTCATGACAAAATCAAATCAATTATTCAGTATCAGTATTTTAAAACCTTTAAAATGTTATAAGAACAAAATGAATCACTTCTTTGTTGTTTGAATGAATCATAAGGCTATATTGTATACGATTTAATAAAGTTTTGTTATTTTTCTCTTAAACCAATAACTTGCAAAACAGTCGTAAAAACCAACATGACAATTAATCGTGAGGAGATTGAGTAGTATTACAATTTTTTGTGTTACTGTAGCCAAACAATATATAGCTGGACAACATATTTCAGAACACACTATGATTTGAATGATTTCATTCCAAAGTGTAGCCTACAACCTCTACAGTAGTAGGCTAAAGTCTCCCGCTGTTTGCTACAGACTGCAGATAGCCTAGGCTACTTCACTCAACTGAAAGGGGGGAAAAAAGCAGATGATTGTCAAACATTTTGTCTTAATAGTGACAGGTAGGAAATACAGCCATTATTTCTAAAATATGTTGTCCAGCTATATATTGTATGGCTACAGTAACACGATTCACTCACATTTTATTTGTAATCTCTGTTCAACCTACTTTCACATCAGTTATGCTACATCGTATAGCCTACACCTAACGATGTAGCCTACAAACTACATTCAGAAGCATATATCTAGATATGGATACATTACATAGATAAACAAATTTATTATAACATATTTCCTGGTTAGCAGTCAGTGGATTCTGAAGCCACGCCTGCGGCACATGTGGGACTATCACCAGTTATTCTAGCCACCACTTAAACGGTCACACAGGCCGTGAGACACAGCTGAGACGTGAGCCTGCACGGAGCCGGTGCAGACAGACAGCTGAATAGATTAAAATGAGAGCGTATCTGTTGCGTTTACAGAAACCAAGTTAAAGTTAACAATATGGGCTTGGGAGAAAGAAACGAAGTTGATATTTGGGCCCATTTTCAATACAATGAGGAGAAAAAAACTGAATGCAGGGAAGTAAAGTGGTCATAAAATAGCTGGTACCACAAACCTGAAGAGACACATTAAAAAGGTACAATGTGTAATCAGGGCTCGAGACTAACAGCGTCTTGTCATGCTGGGGACAATAGAAAATGTGTTTGGAATGAAGAGAAATAATCTATAGGATGCATCTGGGACGAAAGGTGTGTTTTTTTTATTACTATCACTTAGTAAATGACAAACTGAACCGACCTGAGCGCTGACTACAACGGAGCGTGTCTCCTCATGCTGTTACTACAGTCACTAACACTAGCTGGCTGCACACCAGTTCCCGCAGTACAGGTCCATCTATCCTCTCAGTCACAAACGGCTTGCTGATCTCTCAATCGCGCTTTGTAGGATAACGCTTTAAAGTGCCACACATCCTATATCCTGATAACGTTGAACATCTCCACGCAGATAATGCAACTCGGCATACGGCGTGATAGTAAAGTAACCCCTCCCACCCCAGCGCACGCTGAGACACAGCCAGCAGACTCGCTGTTACAGTTTTGCATTATAACCATCTAAAACCTGAAGCACAATCTGGCTCTGTTTGGGACTGTGAGCTGCACTTTATCGGCGCTGCACAAGTTAACATGTGGATTTGTGCTGAGATTTCTGCCTGATCACGTTATGTAGTGTTGGTTTCGGTTTCTACCTCCGATGAAGTGCAGTGCACTTGTCTCATTCAGTACAGTCTGAAGGGGAGCACAGCAGAGTATAGGTCAGGTAGACATTTAAAAATTATATTATGAATTTTCATTAAATAATGATATTAGTCTCATAATGTTATGATTTTTTTAAGGACACGTCAGAGAATACAGATATGTGGGAGAGATTCTGAATATGCAGAAAGTTTTGAACATGAGCAGAAAACCTGCTGAAACCCAGGAGCTATTAAAGTACAGGAATTTCTAACTGAATTAAAATTAAATCATTTATCATCGAGGTAAAAAGGTGCCCCATACAGATAACTTTTCAGTTTTATTTTTAAATCTTTTTGTTTGAATCAAGCAAAATAAATATTATTTATTTTATCAATTTTATCAATTTATCATCATTTATTATGTCACTAACAACTATAGAGGATAATAACAAAGTAAAGAAACAACATTTTGATTTTGGGACGCTTTACATTAACTTCAGGATGGTTCAAATTGTTTTTCAGGACAGTTCCAGGACGGAGGTGAAAAAAGTTAGTCTGGAGCCCTGGTGTAATTCTTGGCCACATGCTCCCAACAAAAGGAGTGCCGTATTGTGCAGGAATTGCATGATTTACTAATTGCAGCAGTGACACAGTTAATCTTACATTACTAAGTAAGATTGTTTACAGATATACACGTAATAAACCTTGCCCTTAAAAAATGTATAGCGAACTCTCCACAAAAAAGTGGTTACAAACGGAGTGCTCTCTCTCTCTCTCACACATGCAGACAGACTTACGCACCCATGCCCGCTGTCAATTACTATTAAAGCGTCCAAGCTCAAAAAACCCCCCCAAAAAAACAAATAAGACATTCGGGCCAGCCCTAGTCTGGACGCTACAGTGACTCACTATCAAGTGGTTTTAACAACACAAGACGACCCGTGGCTCGCAGGTTAACATTATTATTTTTATATTATAATATTAATTTCTGTCGATCTCTCTTTAACACAGTACATAGAAAGGTTAATTCTTCACATTCTGTAAATAATGTTAATTAAACTAAAATTCTTACCAAATCCTTCACATTGTACCTTTAAGGCTCAGCACAAAGAAATTGAGAAGGTTTAACAAAATATTTGGTTGTTTACTTTAAGGAAACTAGTACGTAGGCAGTGTTGTGAATCATTCAACCTGTGTTTTTCATCAGATAATGTGAAATAAGTATGACTACAGTTACATATAATTACTGGTTTTGGCTAGACGAGATTGACTGAAATGTTCAATAAACTCTGATGAGTAAACCAGACTAAAATGTCGACAGTTTTCAATCCCTGGTGGTCTAGTGGTTAGGATTCAGCGCTCTCACTGCAGCGGCCCGGGATCGATTCCCGGTCAGGGAACAGGAATTTTCTCTGTTGATGCTTGTATGTTGTTCCTCAAATGGAAGTCGCTTTGGATAAAAGCTTCTGCCAAATGAGTAAATGTAAATGTAACTAAAAGTATCCTAAAATAGTTGGCTTTCACTGACTAGGGTAAAACTGACGTGCTCAGACTTTTAGTAAACTAAAATTTGATGAGGTTGACTAAATATAATAAAAAACTAACACGGACATTTGACATAGGACTAAGACTAAAGAAATAAATATGTGACATGTGACTCAGCGCTGCACACTAGAAAATGGAAATCTCTCTCCAAGTGAGGTCAGATTTATAAGGTTGGTTGGCACTTTCAAATGCGCTATGCAGGTTTCACATAAAGGCCTACAGTCCGCAGAGGAAAACTTTAGCTGAACAGGATGACAGCCAAAAGCCATTCCCCTAATTGCTGACTTCAAAAGAAGAGCTTGAGTGGGCAGCAGACTAACTTTACATTGGCGCATAGGCCTGTGCTAGAGCTGCCGCATGTATATACAATACAGCTGTGCAGACAGTTCATACACGGAGAAGCACACCACCAATCAAAGAAATACACTGGAGTACAAAAAGATCCACTCAGTGGTAGGTTACATAGCTATAAACTATGTTTACAATCCTTCTGTCCTTCTCTTCCCCTCTTTCCAGGCCACACCAAACTGGGCGTTATGCAACTCTGCTCTATTTCACCCTGGCAAACTTATGCAGACTCCACTGTGATCCCCGTCTGTCCATCACTAGGACAGTGCAGCGAGAGACCGAACACAAACATGGCAAGTGCTGGCTCTGCTTCATACTGACAGTCGCCATTAAGATCATAACAGATTACAATCATTGTCTGAGGAGCCAAATCCCTCCCAGACAACAATGGTGGTGTTCGGGGGGGGGCATACAGTACACTGAGTACAGCAGTTTTGCTGAATTACTTGAAAATCCATTAATCTGTCAGTGAAATGTATGTACTGTAGTCAATATCAGTTTAGCTTGAAAAGGATCACTCTCTTGATCTGAACAGACACACCCTACTCAGTAATACAACAAAGGTTTTATTTGCTTTTGCTTGTGTACCACAAGTTATCAGTTAACATGAAGAACTAACTGAATAACCCAGGAGTCCTTAACTAATCATGTGACATACACTGTCAATGCATGTGATCCCCTCCCTGTTCAATGTCCATGTAAAACATTTCAGTTTGTAACTCGACACCTGAGAGGATTTGCCATTGATGTTAGGGCTGGGCAGTAAGACTAAATTCAAATATGAAAATGATCTTACTGATGAAAGAAGCATTAAACTGCGCTCTAGGTCTTTAACTAACAATCATGAGATTCAAAGATATTCCGTTTATATTATTACAAAGAAAGGCAACCTCACAATTGACACATTGTAACTAGGGAATATTTGGCATTTCTTAAAATAGTTGCACATCATTTTTCTGTCAATCAATCATTTCAGCTCTAGTGTGCTCCACTGCTATGCATCACACGAGGGTAATCTTGTCACATGTGTAAAACAAAAACTTCAACTAACTCTGTAAGTCATGTTTAACAGTAACTTCACCTCGACAGTGGTTTTTAGTAGTGAACTGATCCGTACTGGTCTGTTTGTAGCTTTTCATGTGTATGACCTGCAGAGTAACACAGCACACAGTCAAGAGAATGGGACACTAATGTTGAATTATGTGCATGAAGTCACGACAGCTAGATCAGTAGAGACGGCCTTCTCCTCTGATAATTTGACAACAAATGTATATGTCTTAAGACATTGATAGTTGTACTTGATTTAATAAAGTAAAAATCGGGGGAAAAAAGAAAAAGGTTAAAGGCCTTAAGTAAAGGACATCAGTCTCTGCAAGCCAATCATCTCACAAGTGCAAAAGTTCAATTCAACAACCACAAGTTTCAATTCCATTGAGAAGTGGTGAAAGTATATACAGTCAACATTTTTTTTTTAACTGTTTTTTTTGTTTTTTTTTAAAGAGTGGCGAGTTAGTTTGAGGCACTGTTTGTGCAGATTTACGAGCATTATGTGGGAGATCTCAAATCCTCTTAGGAGAGACATCCTGACGCTGTGGATAACGACAGTGCCACTATCCCGGCTGCTGCTGATAGCTATCGCTAGGGGAATTAGGTTAAAGGGTAGGATTCAGTGGCTAGCACAATACCTCAACAAACCCATATACAACATGCTATGTGCATGCCTGAACATCACCACGATAAGCAGTGACATAACAGGAACTGCCAGACAAAGCAGGGAGGCCCACACAGAGGTCAACATGTTAACATAATGTGGTGCCACAAGACATTAAAAGTAGGAAGCAGAAGGAATCTCTGATGGAGGATAACTTAAGAGGGAAAATAAAATTAAGATTCCATTAATTTTAAAGATCAAGTATACAATGTTTGAACATGCAATTATTAAAGCTACAAACTAACACTTCAGGACTTCACTGTGACATGCAAAATGCTGTTTCACAGTCACATGATGAGTGACAGAGTTTTGCAACCGGTGGGGGTTAAAAAAAAAAATTTCACATGGTTGTCTCACACACACCGCACCAACTCCTCAAAGCCCTCAGTGCACAATGATAACATTTTGAGTCCTATTACGAAATTGTCACTTGGACCTTGGCCTTGTGACAGAAGGCTGCACTTTAGGTAGGTTAGCATAGTATTGCAACATACTGCTGCCACCACAAAAGACATCTTAATTTCCCTTTATAACAGGATAGATATTTTTGCTTAAATATCATATTTTGAACAATATGTTATTGTGTTTTCTTGTGCTGACTGTTTATTTCTCATTATAACGACAAGCAAGTTTATGGTTTTAATACAAGCTTATCTATTAACATTTTATTATAAGGATGTTTTCTTGTTGAAACAAAATAAGGGGCCATGTTATAATAACAAGAAATAAATGTCATTACAAATTGAAAGTATTTTGTTTAAAAAAAAATTAAAAATCCTTGTGGAAGTGACACACTGCTGGAGCACAGTTTTTAACAAAGCGCTTGTTTATCACTAGCTTAGAGATGAAATTGACTATTCATTCCTTACAATGTGTAAGCAGTTGCCAATTTCAGGAGGCGGTGTTGGCAAGATAGCTCAGCTTTATTGTTCTCGACTGGTCAATATAAGCCCACTGATCCTTGAAAATCCAAATCTTATCAAACAGAACTGAAGTGTAAGCAAAACAGTCATCCAAAATGTTAAATAGCCCTCCTCTCCTATACGCCATCAACAGAACAAATACATAAATGCTTTTTGCAAGATGAGGCAGTTAGTTTCAATGACTACAATAGAAATTGAGTAATCCTGGACTCAATTTCAGTCTGTTTAACAGTCGGATTGTAACTCAGCACAGCACAGCAGAAACATCCATTAAATCACTTATTAGATCTCTCCTCACCTTTTTCTTCCATTAAATGATTATTCACTAATGATAGTTTTACTGTAACCATCAACAATGAAAAAATGTTCATAAAGAATCCCTGACTCAACAAATCAAGAAGCTGCAGCCAGTTATGTACAGCAACTCAACTTAGAGCTTTCTTATAAAGACAGCAAACTAGTTTGCATCATCATGCATGTCCTAGTAACAAGCTGCCAGGGAAGTAGAGCCAATGAACATAATACAAATAACGCTGCGGACAGATCTGATTTACCTGCAGTGTGAACAAACCCTTACATTCCTCACATACACAACATCTTTTCTGCATTTTTCTGATTTTCCTGTTTCTCTAATTAAGTGAAATTACTTGATACCTGTCTAACCTGTTTTCTAAAGCCCAAGGTGAAGTCGTTTAAGGTCTTGCTTTGTCCAAACAACTGTTCAAAATCTAAAGAACTTTAATTTTATTATCATAGAAGGCTTACAAAACATTAACATTTGGGAAGCTGGAACCACTGAATGTTGGCATTTTTGCTTGAAAATTTATAATTAATCCCCTAACAAAATAGTTGATTAACCTAATCATCGTTTCAATTCTAGAAAGTATAATAATATGTTGCCAATATCCGCTAGGTCAGGTGGAAACAAATCACTGATATTATAGCTGAAAAGCACCACAGATTTTAATAAAATGTCCTGCACAGAGACTTACAACACATCAAAACGCAAGGGAGACTAACTCAAACATCAATCTGGGCCAAATGCAGGGTAAGACATCTATTTAGAGGTTATACTGGATCTGAAAAATGAGTCTAACATTTACAGTAAGCCCCGTTTTCATGGTGTACCAGTAGAGGCGCAGCATCATCTAGGCCTCACCACCACCGCAGTCAAATGCGACACTGCGAAGATCCGTTACATCAAACTCACACATAACCAGCCACAAGCTAGCAAGATTGTCACTGTACAAAAATACTGATCATCTGTCAGAGATTGTGCGGTATCCCTGCTCGCCATGACGAATCGATCCAAGATATATATTTTTACGACGACGACCACGCGATGCGCCCCCACATATAACGTTACAGTTCTGAGCTGTCAGCTCATTTTAAAGCCAGATTTATTTTCTTTGTGACTTACTGTTTCTAGATATATAGATACCTTTCTGCTAATGCTAACGTTTCCTGTTTTGTTAAATTTCCGTTTTCTGCCAGACGTTAAGCGGCCGTTGGCGATGCTGACCGACGCTAACCAAAGCAGTGCTCGCAGCCACACAGCCATTTCATGAAAACAATTAAATTCTACTAACACTAATACGTCCTCACGAAACTCATCCTTACCTTTAATGTGTTTTTTTCAGAGTAACTGCCGACATTAACTCTCCCTCCTCCTCCTCCACCAGCGCTGGACAGACTGAAATAACAACTGGTTTTAGAGCAGCCGCTGACGACGCAACACGACGCCGTCACGTGGTGTGTGGGAATCTCCGTGTTGTTAGGAACGAGCCAGGGGGGGTCTGAACCTCGAAACCAGCTCCGCCGTGACCAACCGCAACACATGTTACATCAGTATTAAATATCTTTTTAAAAAATGCAGTATATAATAACAACAGGGTAGTTAGTGTTGTACTAGTAGCCTACTCATATTCTAGTATGGTACACTTTAACTTTAAGCTGGGGTAGGCAATTTATTTATTTCAAATGCTCTGACACATGAAGAAAAAAAAATCCCTTATCTGTGGCTGTCGCTGAACTGTAATAAGCACGAATTGGCTGGCCTACCTGACCGGTGCACCCACTGCGCATGAAAATATGTTTTGGGGGAGAACTGAAGAGAGGGGTGGAACAAAGCTCTGTTGCTTACCCCAGCAGGGTAAAAGGAAAGTAATGATCTTGGGTCTATCTCTGTATGAGTCCTTTCCACAATGCAGTCAGACATTTGTAATAACTTTCTGACCCTCTCAGTGGCACAGACAAGAACTTAGTGCAGTGGTACTCAAACCTTACCACATCAAGGACCCCTAATCGTAAACAAATTAGACCACAGACCCCTACTTGATAAGATTGTTTAACTGTTTTTCCCAATTAGTCACATAGACACAAAAACATTGGAAAATATGGTTGAAAAATACACGTTACCCTTTAAGTAGGATTTTGAATACAAGACTTTCACTTCTATTGGAGGTTTTCACATAGTTGTTTTAGTATGTTTACAAAGGCAAAGGATCTGAGTATTTCCATTTTATTATTAAACTTTATGGTGGTTTGCTGCCACAGTCATCCATGTCTGTTAAACATTATAACTGTGTTCAGGAAATAGTCTTTCGTTTCTGTACACATCAGAGGAACAAGTTACTACTGCTTTATTCACATGAAAAATAATTATTTGTTGCATATAATCAATTCAAACAACTATTTGCATATTTTACAGTTATTCTGTGTCCATCTCAAACCAACTGGGTTTATTTACATAAACCACTATGCCCATAGGTCATTAGCTACGTAGATCAACATGAAAAATCCTGGCTGGTTTAACCCTGTAGACGGCTGGGGCAAAAAGTATTTGTGGGCACCCTGTTTGTGATACGGAGTTAAAACACAAACGTATTTAAGAATATTTAGCATATGAAAGTTGACAAATGGTCACTCTACAGATGGACATGCAGACAAATCAACATTTCAGCTGACAATTTGTCAAAGTGGTGAATATTCCCAAAGAAATTAGTAAATGACCACCACAAACTTATTGACACACCTAACATGAGCCTACAGGGCCCCCTTAAAATCTTTAGACCTCTTTGGCCGGCTGGTAATCCAGCCTTGTGAAAAATGCTGTTGAGTGAAACTTGTGGAAGAAACTAAACAAATACATATTTTCATGAATGGCTAGTACAATTTGATAAATGTAATGTGAAGTCACACTGTTTGTGAGGACAATGGGTACAATCTACAGTATACAAGAAGTGTCTGACATGACAATCTTTATAGTTTCTTTTTACAAGTTCTCTTTCAGTTTGCCATCTGCCTAACATCTTGGTACCAGGCAAACTTTGTTGTAAGTTCAAACACACATGCCACCTGGCCCCTATGTAACCACTGACATGACAGCAGTTACTGATTGTACGGGTGGCGTCGAAGCAGATTGTCCAGGTCAGTCTTGTTGATGGTACCATAGGCCTGGGTATAGCTTCCCAGTTTGGCTCGAGGGTCGCCTGCAGCTGCCACATTACAGTTACTCTGAAATACTTTCTTGCTGAACCTTGGCGGTGGCCGAGCCTCACGAACCTGAGAATTTGAACGCTGGTTCTGCATGGGAAGAACAGAAAGTGACATAGCGGCCATTAAGCATTCTATGTTTACATCAATATTTAATCAAACCTATAAATAGCCTAAAATTGCATCCTGGCATTGAGTCATATTTTACATGTCATGTGGTGCGGTGTACTGACCAGGCGTGCAGATGTGACGCATAGCCCAGAGGACAGGGATGGCTCATCTTTACGAACCAACGGGTTGTTCTGGGTTTGGTTTAGGGTCAAGGAGAAAGAACGATTATGGGTCATAGGGGCTGATCGGCCACGCTGGAGAATCTGGTCCATGGACTAGTGAGGGCAGGGATAAGAGGGTGAAAAAAGGGTGTAAAAATGAAACAAAACAAGATTATCAGAAAGAGAAAATGAAACTGAACAGTAAGTGGACTGATGTCTGTTGCTTACTACATTAGCTTTGGTGCCCTCTGTTGGTGATGTTGTTCCATTGCCAGTCTGTTCCACAAGTCTCCTGCTGGCTGCAGTGGAGTGGTAGAAATGAGTAGGACCAGAGGGACTTCGAACAAAACCATCTGAATGAGGAGAAGAAGAGTTTGTGTTCTCTACTTGAAGGAATGTGTATGTGTACATGTGTATGTGTAATGTATGTATGTATGTAAAACATATGCAGATGTATTAGATTTCACTGTGAACACCACTTTCTTTCACACCAAAGAAAGTCAAATGTTAAATATCTAAACACAGGGAATCATTGAAGAACTTTCACTGACTAAAATACATCAACAACTTTCATTTATATCAGGAGCTATCTTACATAGCGTATTTAAATAAGATTACAAATCTAAACAGACATCTTACAGAACTTTCAGTTTTTACCACTCTGTACTACAAACATATTTTGGTCAGTACCAATAAAGTACTGATGTTCGATAGGTGTGGAACCTGTACAGATAAAGTCAGACATACTTGGGGCATGTGTGATGGGGTTATATGTGAGTTTTCCCAAACCAGGGGTAGGTACTGGATTCTCCACAGCAGGCGGGGTTGACGCATTCACAGGCCCAGGGTTGGTGACACCCGTAGGTGAAGGCACGTGGTTTGTCTCATCAGTCTTTTCATGTTGCGTTTTCCCCTCATGGTCACAATCCCCACTGCCATTCACGGTCACTGGGCACTTCTCTACTTTATCCTTCACATTGGGCTTCTCCCTGCCACTGCCACCGCCTCCACCCTTTGGCTGGATCAGCCTTAGCATCCCCTGATTAGTTCGCCTCTCCAGCATCATCTGCAGGTAAAGAAGGGGAACATTAGGTTTAATCAGTGTTATCAGACAATATGCAAATGTAATGTTGCCTTCGGAGCATTTATGACTTGTTTTATACCTCATAAAGTTTGTTGCGGTACTGAACTACAGATAATTGTACATCATCGTCCACTGGCAGCACTACATCATAGTTAAGAGCTGGCTCCTTGGCTGGACTATGAAACCTCCAGGGACAAAAAACACAATTTTTGATACATGATAGCACTTTATGGCAGTAACAGTGACATAATCATACAAATACTGAGCTCTCAAATCTCAAACAAAAAAGCAGAGGATAAAAAAATAGACATCTCTATAATAATTTTGCTGTGAGGAAAACCTGACCACAGCTACTGATCCATGAATCAATCTGAACTCTTGATCCTTAATACCTGGCTACATATGCGTGCTGGAGGGCTTGCTCAGCAGTCAGCCGCTTGTCTGGGTTGAAAACCAGCAAACCTCTCAACAGGTCCAGAGCATCAGGAGGCACAGACGGCTGGAGAAGATCCTCCAAAGGCACCTGTGGTCTGGTGAAGGAAGGAAGAGCAATATTTCAAAGAGTACTCCAGCCATTTAGCATTGTACTGCTATAATGGACTCAAGATAGACAGTTTTTAAAAAAGGATCAATATCAATGCATCAGAATCAGAGATATTTTCTTTTTTATTCCACACATTTGTATTCCTTGTCAAAAACCTGGCTCCTATATTACCCACAATGCAATTTTGGGAGTTATGCTACAAGCTGTTGTAATGTAGCCTCGAGCCGCAAGCCCCAAGCAGAGATGGGAGGGAGAGGGAGCTATAGAGGTCTGGTAAGCTCATTTCTCAAACTCCACACCCCCAAACCTATTTTATTTGCGACCATGTAGTCCAGCCCCAAGCAATGCTGCCTGAATCCAGTGTTTCCCCCAGATGGAGTTGTAGCACCGGAGGTGAAGCAAAAAGTTTGGGTTTTTTTGCACGTAGTGTGTAGTTTAATCTGATTAGAAAACCCCAACACAACGTGTCTCAGCAGTATTGCTCTTGTGTCCATGAGCATGCGATACACATTAGAATAGTTTTTTTTCACATATGTTTTTGTGAGCTTTAGAGGAATGTTTTGGTGGTGGTCGTGTTAGTCATGGTCAGAGGTTTGGGGGTCCTCCCCAAGAAAATTTTAAGTTTTCCAATGAAAAATATGTAATTCACATAATATTGGGCCATTATTTTCACAATATCTCTGAACAAATAGTTGGAAAAGCTAGAACAGATAATAAATAAACAACACCCAAAGATCAGTCTACTGGTGAGGAACTACAACTATTAGATTTGGGGAAAGTAATTTGGTTGGTTATGATGCTCTCCACAGTGATTTTACATTTATGGCACAGCATGTTTTTCACCACCTAAGCCTTAACGGCAGGAAAACGCTGTTAATATGACCTCAGAATCATTATAGAAAGGATTGTTCATGTTTGCTTTTTGTGTCTTCATTTTAAAGCTTTTGACATTTATCTGTATATAGGCAACATGAGAAAGTGTGGGAGTGAAAACTAGTAGCGCATTGATATAATAATGATTGTGTGTGAAATTGTAGCAGCGGCGGTCACAATTCAGCAGTGGCGCACCGACGCTCCTGAATGCATATAAGGGAAACACTGCTGAATCACTTGGCTTGGTTTATCACATGGAGCTCGATCTGAATCCAGAAAAGACTTAATATAGCAGGAAGAGGAAGAGAGTCAGGCTCTGTTCTTTTCTTCTGAAGATCCCTTCAAAAGAATGTAAATAAGTTGCCTTGCCTAGAATGCAATTCAAGCAGCACTTATATATTTAACAACACAAAGCTGATTCCACACCAGTGTATGCTGGGATGGTAATCAAGTGGATCCGCTGTCGTGTTGTGAGTCGCAGACAGTTTATGACTGGAGTGGTAACATTA